GGCCGAAGTGCAGGACCAGCACTTGGCTTTGAAATGTGATGTCATATAGAAAGCCAAACCAAAATCTTCAGTCTCCCACCGGAAATAAAGCATTTTCAGACCAAAGTGTGCTTACATTTAGTGCCTTTCTTTGAAAAAGGTTATGAGTTCACAAGACATTGAGGAGTATTTGGGAATTATGATAGTAGGGCAGGTCCCCTCATCTGGGATTATGAGTCTGAAATAGAGTTTGTAGCCAGAAAAGGGTATGAAGTTGAGAAGTCTCTGGATAGGACTCAGTTAATACAAACAACTGCAGTGCTGACTTCTCTGAATTTTCTTCTGAGCAGCTTTCCTCTTCCCTAGGGAGCCAGTGCTCACCCCAGTGATGATGTTCTCAGCAGTAAGTGTTCTGGTTGGCAAGACCATCACAGCCCCAGTGATGATCAGTCCCAGGGCTCAAGTTTTGTACCTACTCAGTTGCCAACCCTCTGACAAACCAACATGAAACCTGGCTGAACAGCCTGCTCCATGCTAGCTGAGTCAGGCTAAGGAGGGGCTCAGGTCTGGAGGATGTGAAGAGATGAAGGGTACCAGGAGCAGCAGCCAGGACTGTGGGGCAGAGGGTGCTTGCCTGCATTCTGGAGGAATGTCTGCTGATCAGCTGAGCTATGCAGACCTGGGAACTGATCTATGTGCTAACATAGCAATAAAATCATATAGAACAAATTAGACTGTATTGAAAAATCCTTGTGTGCAGTAGACCAGAATGAAGCCTGCTACTCCCAGAGGCATCTCATTCAAACATGCTGCCTCTAGCATTAGAGGAAGGTAAATAATTGTTCAGCTCAGTTCAACACCTGTGCTAATTTCAAGTGGTTCTATTATATGTTGACATCCACTATGAAGAATGTGATATTCTAACTTAATTTCCCTCAGTACGTCAACCTGTCCCAGTCACCACTCGAGGAACACAATCACACAGTGGAATTGAGAACACTGCTAGATCATTCTGAAAAGCAAAATACCAGGTACAAATGACACTGTAAACACTAACTGATGACACATTCTTTAATTTCCCACACAGCTATTAAATTTCCTTTCTGTTATGAGGATGATTGACTACATACACTAACCAAGGCTAGAGGACAAACAGCACTTGAACCTGTATGGCATCCAAACTCTGCTTCTCTCATTCAATGACAAGGCTTGACTGATAAAACACTGATAAACAGACCACCAACTTACTTGAACATCTCGTTCCTCTCTATAGTGGCGAGCCAGAAGCTGTAAGCGTTCGCGTAGTAGTTGCAGGTGCCCCGGCCATGGCATTCGATGAAGGGAGCGCTGCGGAACTCCTCCAGGCAGGAGCCAGGGGACGCCAGGGCCTGGCCAGAGCCCTCTGCACCAGCACTGGTGTGCTAGAGAAATCACAGAAACATAGAATTTAGGGGTTGGAATGGACCTTACAGGTCATCCAGCCCCAACCCCTGCCCTGGGCAGGGACACCTCCCACTGCACCAAGTTGCTCAAGGCTTTGTCCAACCAGGGTCAGTGCAGCAAGAGTAATGGTCATGGAGGAACTCTGTACCTCTTCTGCCATCAAACCTACTAAATCTATAGCACAAATATGTCTTTGCATGCCTCTCCTTGCCCTGTGTGGTGTCTGAAGGGCTCTAGAGGTGCCACTGGGTTCTCCTGCTTAACAGCAGCACAATACATTGGCAACACCCACCTCAGGGCAGCTGTATGCACAGAAATCCTTCAGGACTGATGGTAGGACACCAGAAATCCTTCAGGACTCACAAAAGGCCCCAGCTATCTCTATGCAAACCACAGACCAGGGCTAGCCCTTGGCCTAGGAGGAATACAGACTGGTGTGGCTTCTATCTGAACAGCTTGACCCCATTCCACAGCAGCCTCTCTCTCACTGCCAAGTGCTAACAGCTCTCTTAGCATGTTTCTCCATGCAGTTTGTCAGGCCATGCCCAGATCTTTTCCTGGGAACATGGCTGTTGATACAGGCTGTGAGCGTGGCAGGAACCATGCTAACACCACTCACTATGGAGGGTTGCAGAGTGGCTCTTCCAGGCCACAACTTGCCCCTACTTATTTTACTCGTACAGATACAGCTGAAGAAACTGGATTCAAAACAGAAGTCCAAAATGCTGTCTGAAAACTGAAGGCTTATCCATCTAAAAATGGGAAGAGGACAGGCACTGACATGCTGCCACTCCAGGAAGCTACTGCAACACAGATGTAGAAGGACAATGGAAAAATATGCTTATTTCCTCATTTGCGCAGCCCTTGGATCCTGTGGTGGAACTGCAGTTGTGCCTTTCTCCAAAAGTGAGCAGCAAACTGCTGTTGTATTGTTGTCACCTAGTAACTGGCCTGAACCTTTTAAAAGTCCCCAGAAAGAGGAGAGGTCTAATGCCCTAAGACCTGCAGTGACACAGTGTGATAGTAACTCTCCCAGAGCAGGAGTGGAGGTCAAACACCTGAAAGAAATGCTTCTCTTAGAGTATTCCCCAGTGCTCTTACCATGACAAAGGAGTAACCAATCCAAAGGGAGCTCCAGCCCTCGGGACATGGTGGTATTTGGATCGTTTGGCTGTGAACAGCTATCACCATAGCAGGAGCTTCACACACAGAACACCTAGGAAGAACCAGACATGAATGAGCTGCAGGCACTTAAGGATTAATACTTCTACAGTCAGGAGTTACATTCTCTGAGGAATCTTGAATCAGAAAACATTGTCATGTTTAAAACAGAAGGAAAATCACCAAGTTTCATTTAGAAAAACAACCAACTTGTAGTTTCTAAAGGTGCTCAATGTCATGAGATTCCCTTGTCAGATTCATAGCTAACTGCAGTTCACCATACTTCTGCTCACACCTCAGCCATGAATTTACTATGCCAGCACAGATTTTTCTGGTGGCCTTACAGTTTAAAATGGACCAAAGGCTGAACCTGTTGGCTCGATGCAGAACAGTTAGTCTGCACCACTCTTTATGCTAGCTGAGAATCTGGAGTTGTTAAAAAACACAGGATTGATTTTGCAACTGCTTCCTTTGCTTCAGACAACAATGGCTGTGTTCACCAGAACATCCAAAACAATGGGAGATTCCTGGCAGTGTGATAAATGATGCCACCATCTGCAAACAAAGGGGAACTGAGCCCTGAAAGGCTTCTAGCTGTGGCTAGTCAAAAACCAGAAGTGTTTTGGACAAGAATTCTGAACAAAGGCAAAACTTTTTCTCCTTTAAAGTACATCAGAGCTTGGGTAAGACAGTGTTTCAGAATCAATCTTTTCACTTTACTTAGACTGCAAATAGACTACTCTATTTGTCTGGGTTTGCCCCCAGATGGGTCCATTTTTGATTAAAGTCTGAGCTGGAAACATGCACATTTGTAATCATCTTATCACAGGAATCAAACTTTACATTTAAAGGCAGGAAACAAAAATACACAGATCAAAAGCTTTTTTTCCAGAAATATAATGTACCCTGACCCCTTTTCAGAGGCTTCTTCACTTTATAAACACCACAGAACTGAAATCCAACCTGCTGATGAATGGCCTGATGTTATCACCAGTGATGGGAGCCATATTCATTGGCATTGGTTCTGGGGTGGAGAGCCAGTAGGAGTAGTCATTCCTGGATGCAAAGTTACAGACGTTGTTGATGTTGCAGAATAGGAAGGGCATGGTACTGAATTTACGGAGACAACTTCCTGCTGTGCCTGAAATGTAAGTGAGAGGTTACTTGGTAACACAGTTTTGTTAAACCATTGCCAACCTCCAAACAAATATCTCCAGGGCAGCTGAAAAAGTAGAGGACACTTGCTCTGCAGGGCCCAGTCCTCTCAGAGGAAGCAATTTCTTTCAGCTTCATGAGGAAGGAACAGAACAAGGAAAGGAATAGTTCAGCCTTGCCTGTAGAACTATGGAACACATTAGGTTGGAACAGACATCTAGAGGTCATCTATCCTAAGCCCCTGCCAGGTAGATCAGGCTGCTTGTGTTCAGAGTCAGTTGAGTTCTGGGTATCTCCAAAGACAGAGACTCAACACCCTCTCCATAGTCCAGTTCCAATGGATCAGCAGCATGGTAACAAAGCTTTCACATTTCACTGAAACATGTCTCAGACTTGTGTCCATTGCTCCTTCTGGCACTGAGCCCCTCTGAGAAGAGTTTGAATCCATCTTCTCTACCCTCCCTGTAGACCACAATAAAGGCCTCCTCTAAATTCCTGTTAAGGCTGAGCAAACCCAGTTCCATCAGCCTGTCCAGACCTCACTAGCCATCTCTGCAGCTAGCTGTTCTATTCACTGTGGTACATCAACATCCTGGGACACCCAGCCTGGGCCAGATGTGGTCTCACAGTTGCCAAACAGAGGGGAAGAGTCACTTCTTTCCATCTGCTTTTTTTGTCAGTAGAGCCCAGTGGGGTGGCCAGTGGGGAATGGGATGGTTTGTGCAAGGACACAGTGCTAACTCCTGTTTGGTGCTGCTCACCAGGGTTCCCAGGTCATCTCCTGCAAAACAGTGTTCTGGTAGTCTGCACTGCTGCTCCTGGAGAGAGCAGCCATTCCCCAGCCTGTCCTGCTGCACAAGGTTGTTTCATTTTGGGTGTACCCTCTGCGTTTGCCTTTACTGAACATCTTGCGGCTCTTTTCAGCCCTCTTCTCCAGCTTGGCCAGGTTTCTCTGAATGGCAGCTGTGTCCAATGGGGAGCCAACCACTTCTCCTAATGTGGCAATACCCACAGACTGAGAGTGCACTCTATCTCATCACCCAAGTCATTAACAAATTCATTAAACAGTATTGGCCCAGTACTAATTCCTGAGGGTCATCACGAACCTAACACCACTTAGACTTGTGTATCTGCTCACCTGAAGCTGATGGACCCACCAATTTTCCACTCACCTTATCATCTACTTAGGCAATCCATATCTCACTATCTTGACTGCAAAGCTACTATGGGTGACCGTATCAAAGGCTTTGATAAAGACTTTCTCAAATAAAGTGACACTGTTTCCATTATACACCAAACCATTATTTGTGCCAAGCTACAAGGCACGATAAAGCATCATCTATCCAAGAGTAATTACACAAGATTGTTTAACACAGTTCTACAAATGAAAGAAGCATGTGGTTTGTGATGATTTCTAACTGAATTCTACTTTGGTCTCTACTTACCCAGATCTTGGCCATGTGCTCTTTCATTGCCTTGCACATAAAGCAAGGAGTAGCCATGGTAAATCAGCCTTGTTCCAAATGGACAGGATGGTTCTTCAGTGGTTTGACTGTGTCTGGTAACAAGGAAGCCATGAGCAACAGATGGTGCCCCTGGTGGGCCCATAGTCCCAGGCAGGCCTTCAGGACCAGGTGGACCAGGGAATCCTCTGGGCCCTACAATACAGAGAGCCTCCTTTTATCTCTACAGACAGCAGTGCTCTGTTTACATAGCTAACAAAGAGAAATCAGATACATTCACATCTAATCTCAGATGTTGTTTTGCTATGAAGGAATTAAGTCTTTGAGGAACTCATGGACTTACCTGGGGGACCATAAGGACCAACTTCTCCTTTTTGCCCAGGTCTACCATCAAACCCTGGACTACCAGGTGGTCCAGGTACACCTGAAGGTCCTGTCACCCCTGTTAAAGAACAAGGAATAGTTATTACTGGGTATTACTCCATGTTGGTTCTCACTTCTGGGTCTTTAATACAGCATGTCACAGGTACACCTCAGCAGAAACCCATGCTGACTCTGTGCTTATATTTCAATATCTAGAGCACATAGCAGGATTTCCACAGGCAAAGTGATTATGGTAGAGAAGATCAGAGAAGTAGAGAGAGGATGTGCTCCTGAAGTAAACAGTATTCACCTGGAATATGAAAAGCAGCAATTTCTTCTCCCTCTGCTTATCATATGACTCAGCCAAAAACAGACCACAAAAAAAGTAGGGTCATGAACAGTGGGAAAACTGGTATCCTCTTAGCTTCTTCCCAAACTGGTTTGCAGACATATATTGTGTCTTTCCTTTCTCAATTTTAGGGATGCTTTGAGTCCCACATAAACTGCTAACTCTGACTTCAGGAAAAAGGAGTTAACACCATCAGCACCACAGCAACATCTCTGTGACCCACCAGAAGCTTTAGGCAGTCACACTTGTCCTTTTCCTGATCCCTCAAAGCCAATATTGTGTTTCTATATTGAACTGACAACCAGTGACAGATCCATATAAGCAAGCCCAGCTGGTGTTCAGTCACTGGGACCATTTCATAGCTGTTTCCTAAGGGACAGCAGTTGCAGAGCTGCATCCACACCCTCCAGAGCAAACTTCCATACCTATTATATTAACTAGAAAGAAGATATTCAATATATTCCACAGCAACTCCCCATGATCTTATCATAAATTAATCTTTCCCTCAACACTTCTGCGCTCTCACTCTCCGTGTCCTGTCATTCTGAAGGACACGTCCTTGTGCCAGCACTTCATTGTCTTACCCTTTGCTCCATTCTCTTATTCCTAAATGTGTTTCAATTTTGTAGTTCAACCTTTTTTATAACAGTTGCAATGTCTGGACCAAAAGACAAAATCTAGGGCCACAGGACAAGCTTCCTCAGGAAGCACTTCTCACCCCAGGATCAAGTGGTTTTCCTCATGCTTGTCTTCTCATGGAGACACATGGTAATTAAATTTGGATTCAACACTGAAGACAGAAGATACCCTAACAAACACATTTTAGGGAGGGATAAGCAGAGTTTTGCAAGTCATTCTGCTTAATTCTGATCTTGTATCCTGGCGTGATGACTGCAGAGTGAGAGTCTGTACACCAATCACTAGGAAGGATGAGCTGCAAAAAGGACCCTCCTCTTCATCATCGACACAACTGAAGAGTCTTATAAAAAGTTGGATATTATTATCCCAAAACTATTCTAGTGCCTAGCCTACCCTTGGGCTAGTTTTAAGTTACTTAGAATGTATTTCTACTGGCAAGTTAGAAGCTTTCACCTTGTTGTCCTTTGGGACCTGGAAGTCCTGGGAATCCTTTGAGACCAACTGGTCCTACTGGGCCAGGTAAGCCAGGATCTCCTTTGACAAGCTGAAAAGGACCTGGTGGGCCTGGTGGGCCTTGTAAACCTGTCAAAGGTAACAGAGCAAATCAACACATGTTTAGCATTGGACAATTAAAAGAGTGGCAAAACCATGTTACCTTGACCTCTCAGTCAGAGAACAGAGCCTATAGCTACAAGACATAAATTTGCCCACAACTTTAAACTCTAAGGCTTCCCAAATGGAAGGCTACCTATGCTGATGTCTCCAACCAACCAGACCTTCCACAGACTGAGATTGCTGTCCAGACCTCAGGCTGCATAGGGTTTCCTCAGCAGGTTTGCAAATGGCACCAAGGTGAGTGGTGCAGTCACTAGGCTGGAGGGAAGGGATGACATCCAGAGGGACCTTGACAGACCACATGGGCCAATGGGAACCCCATGAAGTCCAACAAGGCCAAGTGCAAGATCTTACACATGGGGCAGGGCAATCCCCAGTATCAGGACAGACTGTGGGATGAAGGGATTGAGAGCAGCCCTGGGGTCACAGGGGGATGAAACACTGGACATGAGCCTGCAATGGCAACTCACAGCCCATAAAGCCAATTCTGCTCTGGGCAACATGAAAAGTAGCATGGCCAGCAAGTCTAGGTTGGTAATCCTCCCTCCCTGATCCCTAAGACTCCACCTGGAGCCTCTGTGTGCAGTTCTGGGGTTCCCTACGCAAGAATGACATGGATCTGTTCGAGCAGATCCAGAGGAGCATGAAAATGATCAGAGGGGTGGAACAGATCTCCTGTGAAGAATGGCTGAGTGAGCTGGACCTGGAGAAGAGAAGGCCCTAGGAAGGCTTCATTGCAGCCTTCCAGTATATAAAAGGGGCTTATAAGAAAGACTGAGAGGGATTGTTTTACTATGGCCTGGAGTGACAGGACAAGGGGCAGCAATTTGAAACAGAAAGAGTGGAAATTTAGATTGGACTTAAGGAGGAAATTATTTCACTGTGAGGGTGGTAAGGCACTGGAACAGGTTGTTCAGAGAAGTTACATGTGCTCAAGGCCAGGTTGGATGGGGCTCTGAGCAACCTGGGCTGGTGAAAGGTGTCCCTGCTCATGGCAGGAGGGTTGGAACTAGATGAGACTCGAAGGTCCCTTCCAACACAAATCATTCTAAGATTCTGTGGTTCTAGGGGATTGTTTGAAGATTCTAGTAATGAGAATACCTCAACATATGTTTCTCAAAGCAGCAGATAAACATACTCATTCTCTGCCCAGTGCCACTCTATACACAAAGCTAATCTGACCATTCAGATGCTGATACCATGATATCTGGTTCCATATACTACCTTTTCACATGGAATAAAAGAAGGAAGGAGTTATCCATTAGTTAGGCACAAATAGCCACTTTAACAATAACATCTGGTTAAAAATCCCAAGTCTTTATATCATACCTTTAGAACCAGGAAGACCCTGGTCACCTCGCTCACCCTTCAGGCCTGGGAAGCCAGGAGTTCCTTTGGGACCTGCAGCCAAAGGAAATGGGTATGTGAAAATTCAGTAGTCCCTTGATTTGGAAGGATATGTGCAGAATAATAACATTCTTTTTTTGCACAAGTACTTGTTAACTTTTTGCAAGAACACGACACAAACAACTGCACTAAGCCACCACAGAAATGATGCCTGAAACAAAAAACTCTCTGTAGTTACTGATTTTGTTCTCTAAATTAAAAGCATTATGGTTTTTATATTAATAGCAGCAATTTTTATGCACATGGTGTTTTCAGGTGTGTGATGGAGACAGCAGCAGCAATAGAGTCCACAAGGGAGACACTTTCAGCCCATGTTCCCTCAGGTGTAGCTACAACATTTGCCTCTTCAGTTGTCAAGAATGTCTTGAAGGAACTGTTAATATCTAACAAGTGATTTTACATCCACCTTTTCAAGGAAGTGCACATTTAAAATCTGCAAAGCAAGAACAGGCAAAAGGCAAAGAACTGTGAGAAAAATCTCAGTATTCCTGTTTGCTTTTCCATGCAGCTCCTGAGGTCTTGCTCCAGGAATTTGTAACAGTCAAATTCTTTGAGTATCTCTTTTGAGAGAGGAAATATATGAAAGAGATATTTTTGCATACTCTTTAGGAGGATGGTAACTTTTCTTCTCACCTGGAACACCTGAAGGTCCTGGAGGTCCCAGATCACCCTTTGGACCAGTTCCTCCTGGTAAACCAGGAGTACCCTGCATGAAAGAAAAGGAGAAGTATAGTTATCCTACACTATCATGACATGACTCTCACATAGGTTGCTTATTTTTGGAAGCCTATGAAAAAAATACAAAATGAGAGGAAAACCATTCGTTTTAGGGAGTGGTTATTCTCTCCCATGAATAGATGAGAAGCTTCTCCTTTGCCTTACAAAGATACCAGATGAGGATAAGGTCCCACTGGCAGTGCAGCTAGTGAGAAGGTTCTCAACTATAGACCATACTGCTATGAAAAACCTCAGGAAGCACAAACCTCAACCAACATCTCAGTGCAGTCCCAGCAAGTGGTTGCTACTTAGATAATTAAATGGGGTAATTCTAGACCACAGCAAACCTGAAAACTTCTACATTCTCAAGTGGAATGAAATTGGATGTGCTCAAAAATTTATAATCCTCTGATTTTTACTGTTCATCAGGGCTAAAATACCCAAGGACTTAAACCAGTGCAAACACAATGGGAACTCCTCCTCCTGTCTTCACCACTCCAAACTGTTCCCCTGAAACTTGTGGCAACAAGTTCATTGTAGTCTCACTTCAAGGAAAACCAAGCCTGTATTTCAAGAGACACTGCAAATAGTCCTTCAAATAGTCAAATAGTCTTTCAAATGACTGCCAAGTTCCTTTTCTCCTCTTGTGTCTCACAGATCATCTGCACAAAGCTTGTGAGTTTAGTTTAGAGCTCTGCCCTGGCTGGAGAGATGCAGCAATGATAATCCACTGTATAACAAAATGTGGAACACAGGTGGAGGAAAGGAAGAAAATCCCTTTGCCAAGTAGCCTACCAATCAGAGGGTGGAGATGAGAGTTGAATACTCAGTGAAAAAAAATCCCAGTAGCAGATTCATCTCATCACACGTGGATAGACACACACAGGAGTCAGGTTTGATTCACACAGGAGTCAGGTTTGATTTGGTGCAAGTTTCGTGTTTATACTGAAGTGGGAAGTGGCTCCTACAAATGTCTAATTCTTACCACTGACTATGAAGGGAGAAGAGATGACTAGTTCAAAAATGGACATCACCTGTGAGACTTCCAAAGGCAAACCAAAGTTACCCCCAGCAGTGCTAAAGGAGGGATCAATGAAGCAAGGTTCCCTGTTTTCCTCCTGCCACATGGTCCCAGGACAGAGGGTTATTTAGAGAAATGTCTCTGTATCACAACGTGTGAACTAATGCAGCACAAAAAGGAGGGCTAAGACTCATCCAGAAGACACTCACGAGTCAACCACATTAACAGAGGAGGTTTATCAATTTATTTTAGGTTATCATTGTGAAATGGATTTACAAGAGGAGCTCATTGGAAGTTTTCCTACACAATACTTTTTCCCCAACAGGATGCATTTCTTAATCTTCTTTTTGCCCTGCCAGATATAGCTTGGCAAACATTTTTTGGGGATCTGTTAAAATAAACTCCAAACTAGTTCCAACTGTGAAGATGATGGAAATGTTCCTCCTCCCCTTGCAACATTAAAAGGAACAGAAAAGATCCCATAGGATTTGTATTTTGCAGTCTGATCTCTGCATCCCCTTGTTTTGGACAGGATTTTTGGACAGGCTGTGCCACCCAAGCTGTACCAAAGTCTCCCTGCTGAGATAGGTTGCCATGTACCTGGAGACCTGTTTAAGCACCAGAGCTGCAATTAGGGCAGGAGCCTCTCACATCAGGGCATGGAGACACAGAATCTCATCTTAGTATGGATCAGCAGGGAAGTTTAATATAGAAATCACTCTCACTGCAGCATTTCACAGCAAGTTAACAACTCTGCTATGCGCTGTGACTCAGGGATAGCAAAGCATTTTCTCCTGATGGAAGGAATGGAATCAGAATCTTTGGGCATCTCCCATTCTAGATAAGAAAACAGTCTCAGACTGGAATATCAACCAGCTTTACCCTTTCCTAGGATATAGAAATGTAGCTCTCTGCATAAGTACTGAAAATTCTAAAACTAGGGAAATTGTAGAATCATAGAATCACCAAGGCTGGAAGAGACCTCAAGATCATCAAATCAAACCATTAACCTGTCACAGGTGCAACCCCTTAAACCCTAAACCAGATCCTCCAGTGTCAGATCCAGACACCTCTTAAAAACCTCCAGGGATGGTGACTCCACCACCTCCCTGGGCAATATCCCAGTGCCTGAACAGCCTCACAGGGAAAACATTTCTCCTCACATCCAATCTACACTTCCCCTGGCCTAACTTGAGGCCATTTCTTCTCATCCTGTCACTTGTCACACAGGAGAAGAGACCAACCCCCACCTTGCTACAACCTTCCTGCAGGTAGTTGGAGAGAGTAATAAAGTCTCCCCTGAGCCTCCTCATCTCCAGGTTAAACAACCCCAGCTCCCAGTGGAGTAGGAAAGAGGAAATGAAAAATTAAGAGACAGAGCCTGTGTTTCAGTGTGGAAATAGGCAGCAGACACTCTAAAAGAGTAGCTAGAGCTACTGGCAGCTTGGAAGCTCTCCCACCTGTGCCTGGAGAAGAGAAGGTCGTGTGGGGACCTCAGAGCACCTTCCAGGAGCTGAAGGGGCTCCAGGGAAGCTGCAGAGGGACTCTGTGTTAGGAGCTGCAGGGACAGGATAAGGGGCAACGGGGGACAAAGTGTAGAAGCGAAAATTTAGGTTAGATCTTAGGAAAAAGGTTATCCCTGTGAGGGTGGTGAGACACTGGCACAGGTTGCCCAGGGAGGCTGTGGCTGCCCCAACCCTGGCAGTGTTCAGAGCCAGGCTGGCTGAAGCCTTGAGCAACCTGGTGTGGTGGGAGGTATCCCTGCCCAGGGCAGGGGGTTGGGGCTGGGTGATCTCTAAGGTCCATTCCAACCCCTTTAACATACTATGATAACATACTATGATATCTGGGTGACTGTCCTACTCTACTTCATTCTCCCTATTTTAGGGACTATTTTAGGCCATGGAAAATGAAAAACACCATGACAACAATGTATTAATAGCAGAGCCTGTTTGCATTTCTAAACCAGCAGCTATATTTCCCCCCTGGCAGCACTGGCAGTGCACGTCATGTGAGAGGTTCCAGGACAAAAGCAAACAGTTCAGGTATCTGCAGAAGGCAATTTTCTGCAAAACATGCAACCTTTAAAATTCACTGCTAATGCACTTGCAAGATTTATGGCTGTGCTGCACCATCCTGGACTGGTAAAGCACTGTAAAGTATATTTTGGGTGTTGTATGTTGCCACTCACTATCTGCACATTTCTCCTATGTTCATTAGCTCACTGGGGTTATTGCTTGGGAGCTTGGCCAAGGGAAGAACTGAAACACTTTCAAACTGACTTTCCATCATCATCATCGAGTCCAAAGGCACTTTGAGCAGAAAGTATCATTATTTTGAGCAAGAAACTCTATGATTAATATATCCATTAATTACAAGAATCAGCTTTCAGCAAATCTGGAGTGCACTGAAAGTCACTTACTGGCTGTCCCTGGAAACCTGGATCACCTTTGACTCCTGGGCCCCCAGGAACCCCTGGCCAGCCACTGCTCCCCTGCTCTCCTTTGGCTCCTTTCAGGCCTGGGAGTCCTGGTGGCCCCACTGGACCTGGCAAACCTGAAAAAGGAACACAAGAAGAGAGAATTTAGTGGCAAAATTTGATCAGAGCAGCAGCTGACGCAGAACAAACTGAGCCAATCTACAGATGGACAGAACCAAAATAGCTTTGTAACAAAGTTTCAGGAAAGTAAGTAGGAGAATCTATTGCAGGTAGGTCCGTATTACTCCTCATCCCATCATTTCTCAGCCTGTGGCTGATGGAAAATTATGGAGAGTTTCCTATATATGCAGAGCAAAAATATGCCAAAGATACATTGCAGCTGTGCTCCACTCTCCTCCTTCATGCCCAGCACAGAAGCCACCGCCATGGCAAGACCAAACACATTAACACTCCAGGACGCAGGAACACAGAGACATGGATGCCTCAAAACAGTACATAAAGTCTATAGGGAAACACGGTCAGGCACTGGGATGTTGCCCAGGGAGGTGGTGGAGTCACCATCCCTGGAGGTGTTTAGGAGGTGTCTGGATGTGACACTGGAGGATCTGGTTTAGGGGTTCCAGGGGTGACAGGCCAATGGTTGGACTCGATGCCCTTAGAGGTCTCCTCCAGCCTTGATGGTTTTATGATCTTCTGGAAGTGGGAGACAACCTTCTCAACATCAGAAAGACTTCTAGACAAAGCCACCTGCCTGAGGACATCAGATCAGCCTGCTCTAGGACATAACACCAAGCTGCCTATGAAGGGGAGTTTTTCTCTGACCTATGAGCAGAGGACAGATCTGCAATATTGATGCCATTATCAGTTTTTTAGGTGAGCTTTGATGAGCAGCAGAACATTCACAGCAAAGACAAAGAATTACCTGGAAGCCCAGGCTGGCCTTGGGGTCCTCTGTCTCCTTTGGGGCCCTCAATTGCACTCCCTGGTAGTCCAGGAAGACCTTGGCTGCCCTTAGGACCTGGTGGACCTGCATATCCTGGTTCTCCTTTCAGGCCTGGGATCCCTGGACCTCCTGGGGATCCTGGAAATCCCACTTCACCCTTTGCACCTGGGATTGGAAACAACCATGGAACATGATTTAAAAAGCATCACAACCACTGAAAACTTCTGCCTCATTCCTTCATTCCTTAGGCAAACCTTGACCTTGACTATACCCATTGCCATAAAAATGCAAAGCTTTAGGAAAGCTGCTTTATTCTTCACGTTATGATAGAAAGTATGAGGAAAGGAGCTTGACTGACATCTTTTTTCTTGTCTAAACTGATCACTGAGCTATTTTAAGTCACTCTAAAAACAGATTAACATTCAGCATCTCTATCTCTCCTTACACAAGGATTATAGAGCTGCCAAACCCTTACTCCACTACAATTGTTATTGCCATAGCTGAGTAGTGGATGTTTTGCTTGACTAAGCACAAAAGGACTTGCTCCTGGGGAAAAATGGAAGACTTTCTGTCCTAGGATCTAGATTTAGACACTTTTTACCTACTTTCAGGCTTGCACAAATAGTTAAAAATTGCAATTCAATCTGATTTTAGTTCATGATTGAGCAAAAAGAATAGAGAGTAGCTGGTACAAGTACAATAACAAGAGAACTAAAGCTCCTGAAGGACACTATCTCTGGTTCTTTGCCTGAGCAGAACAGGTTTTTGAACCCTGGACTTGTTTCTTTCGGCCTGCAATACATTTGGCACACAAATGGTGTCAGCTGGATATTGTTAAATGAGCTGAGCTGACAAAACCAGGGAGATGAGGATGGGGAGAAAAGTGCTCTCACAGCCCAGCACTCCATGTGTCCTACTGAGCTGTGCCTGGAAAACTGGCTTGTTTTAGTAAGCTCTCCAACATCAGGGCTGTCTCAGCAACTATGACTGTTAATTAGTCTAAGATGATAAATAAAAGATATTCTAATGTTCTGGTTTGTCATTTTTGGTTGTCCAGACAAGTTTCTTGTATTTACAGCCCAATGGAGTGAGGTAAACCTTTGATATATAAAGCTATGTAAGTTCTGCAAAATCTAACACGTCATGTGGATTTCATAGATGTACCAGTTGAAATTGAAAATCCTTCAATTACACACAGTTTTCTTTGGCAGCAGCAGTTGGGAATTTCTTCACTGGTGTATCTATTGCAGCTGGGGACACACTTCTTTCCCAGACTGGAGCCTGGTGCATTACAGACACCTTGAACAACCCCTGCCTGGAGCCAGCCCAGCCATTCTCCCAGCACAGTGCAGGGACACTGCACACAGCCCAAGGGATTGAAATCCTGAGGGCTAAGTGCCTGTCCCAAGCTCTCAGTCCTGGGTCCAGGAATGAACACCTCTCAGTAAGATCTCATCAGGTCTCTGCTGCCTTTGCATGTCTGCCCCTGTGCACAGCTCAGACATGCTCTGCTGAGCTACAGAGAATCACTGTTTCAGCAGTTCATAACTCTGGGTTGCACAACAGGCTCAGATGAAAAGGTTCCTGTGGTGACCTGGCCACAAACCACCAGCTGTAGCACCTCTGTCAGGAGCACAGAGCTTTGCTGGAGTTTGATTCTGGCAAAATTAGTAGGAAAGCAGAAATACTTGGGAGGCAAAAGCACAGCACACAAACCCAAGAGTTATTTATATTACCCCAGCACAGCACAGCTTGCAGGAAATTCCACACTGGGAATAATTACCTATTTTAGGGCATATCTAACTCATGTCCAAGATGTTGCCACTGTAACAGAAATTAGTATTTGAGCCTCTCAGAGCCTCTGCCTGCTCTGAGAAGGTGTAGCAGGCAAAAAAAGTGAAGCAGAAAGGACATCTGCATTACAGAATTGTGGTTATAGCATGTTGGGATATAGCATAGTGGTTTACCTTTATCTCCCTTTGCACCAGGAAATCCTGGAAGTCCTCTACCAGGAAGACCTGCAATCCAGAGACAGCAAAAAGTTAGAGGATGGGAAAGTGCTTAAACACACCCTGTAATGAATGAAACTCTATGAAGCAAACACAAACTCCAAGTAAATGGCTTATGCCAAAGTTTTCAGGGCAGAGGCTGTTCCTCTTCTGCACTGGTATTGTCCTTAGCACAATGAGCCTGCACGGCTGACAGCACTACCCTAGGAGGAGCAGGACAGCTCCTCTACTTCCCAGCTCTGCTGCAGCTTGAAACTCATTCCCAAGCACAGTTCTTTAAAGCATTGCCAGCTTTTTGTTCAATAAATTCCTTCATTGATTGAACACAGTTGCTCATCTAAACGATCAGCTTGGCAATGATATGTGATAGCTGCTCCAACATGGAACTGTTGGAGCAAGTGCAGAGGAGGCCACAAAGTTGCTAAGAGGACTGGAGCATCTCCCCTAAGAGGACAGGCTGAGGGAGCTGGGGCTGTTCAGCCTGGAGAAGAGAAGGTTGTGTGGAGACCTCAGAACACCTTCCAGGAGCTGAAGGGGCTCCAGGGAAGCTGCAGAGGGACTCTGTGTTAGGAGCTGCAGGGACAGGACAAGGGGCAATGGGGACAAATTGAAGGAGGGGAAATTTAGGTTAGATGTTAGGCAGAAGTTTTCCCTGTGAGGGTGGTGAGACCCTGGCCCAGGTTGCCCAGGGAGGCTGTGGCTGCCCCAACCCTGGCAGTGTTCAGAGCCAGGTTGGATAAAGCCTTGAGCAACCTGGTGTGGTGGGAGGTGTCCCTGCCCAGGGCAGGGGGTTGGGGCTGGGTGATCTCTAAGCTCCATTCTAGCCCCTAAAATTCTATGGTTCTAAGCTGTTTGCAACACACCATACTGACTTGATTTTCTAAGGTTTCACCCAAAGTACTTCAAACCCAGGACATGTGTCTACCAGCTACTCTGGTGTAACCTGTCTCTGTGTGTTTTCATACCCCATAAATTTAAGATGACAGTCACAGTACCTTGTTCACCCTTTGCACCAGATGCACCTGGAATCCCATCAGAACCTCGTTCACCCTTCTGACCAATGGACCCAGCACGACCCGGAGCACCAGGTTCACCTGAAAAAACATTGACATTTTCATTTCACCTAGGACTTTTTTCCTCTAAAGAAAAACTAAACCTTTTCCTTTGCTTGTGTAGAGACCAAGCAGATACTGCATGAGGACTTCAGTGTGGCTTCTCTCTGAGGTTACTGAATTCAGTCAGTCTGAGCCAGGGCTCGAGTATTAATGATTTTGACACAGCTAATTGTCATGAATCTCAGGAAGCCTAGAATTCAGGAACTCCAGCAAAGACTTGGAATAGTACAGTCCACTGCCCAATAAGATGATGTGTCCTGCAGCCAATAAACGGAGAACATAAGACTCTAAAAATGTTGTTATATTCATAGCAGCAATGGAGTTTCTCTTCTCCATACTCTATCTGCTCTTTAATACCTGTCTGGTGATGCTAACGTGTGATTCAGGTTTGGGCACATATTGCCTGTGTGGGTTTTAAATGAGCTCAGAAACACCAGAACTAATGGTTAGAGCAACAACTTGTCTTGTGGGAGGTGTCAAAGCTAGTCCTCAAACGGTGCAGTAGTATTAGCCCCCAAGACACCGACTCAGATTTTCCTGGGGAACAGCAACATCTGCTCTTTGCTTACAGAATGAATAAAAGCACCACGGAACAACTGAGCCAAAATGAATGCAGAATGGCACAGAGTAGGCATCTGTGTCTTTTTGACTTGTCTGTCCTGTTCCACCTCTCTTCTCTCCCTGTCGCCTCACCCAGCACTTGTTTGAGACTCAGTAGCACTGCTGCCCTGTCCTCACACCCCCATGGGCTGAACATCCCAGGCTGCATCAGCTCTGGGTCTCTCTCCCTGAGTTATCACTGCCTGGAGGTGCCCAACACTTTCAGTAGCATTTGGTAGTTTATATTCCTTCTCTACCTGGTTCTCCTTTCAATCCTGGGATGCCACTTAGGCCAGGAAGTCCTTTTTCACCCTTCTCCCCATGACGGCCAGGGCTCCCTAAAGGAAGAAAGAAAAGAAGAAGTGTTTATATGCAAGATATTTGGTGTAAGTTTCACTTTCATTTTTACTGCAGTTTCCTTTTTGTTAGGGTGTAGGCACTTGCCTGGAAATCCTGCCATGCCAGGGGATCCTTTGGGACCTGGAGCACCAGGCATTCCAGGGACTCCTGCACTGCCCTTTTCACCCTTGTCTCCAGACAAACCTGGGCTACCTGTTCGTCCTGGTTCTCCCTGGAAGAAGCAGCACACACAAAATCCACATGTTAGTTCTGAACCAGCTTGTTCTGTTTGCAGTGGCAGATTTGACCTCCCTCTTATCCATCCAATCTCTGCAGAATTCCGTTCTTTTTCCATTCACAATGTCATGTAAGATTCAATCTGCATTAAATTCCACTATCAGAGGTGTAAAATTTCTAGCAATTCTTAATACCTGCACATGAAAATGAGCAGTTTTATGTACATTTTATGACAGTTATACAAAGTTTTTTCCAAATTAGCTTCTTAACTTACTTATTACACTTCATCACTAAGACTTCAGCAAGTTTTCTACCAGATTAGCAAGTATTATATTTGCAATTTTCACTTATAAATTCATGATAACTGTCATGGCATAGCTAAGGAAAGGAATATGAAACAAATGAGAATCCTAGTAGATATTATGAGAGAGAAAATGAACTTTACAGAAAGCATTAATACAGTTCTTTTCCAGTAATATCTCAGCATTGTACAGTTTTTTTTCACTTTCCCAGTATGTCTATAAAAGCACAGAAAAGTTATCTCAGTGTGATTATTTGCTCTGTTTTCACTTTATTTACTTAGTGCTTTTAAAAGTTCTTCTCCTCCTTGTTTATAGCACTGTGAATTAGACAGAGTAAATCAGATCCCTGGAGACAATGTCCCATCAAACACAAAGCATCTAACCCTGTGCATGTGCACAATGCCAAGTTCCTCGTATGATATTTATGTGAGCACAACAGAAAAGATAATAAAACATCTTCAAGGCCTTTTAAAATGAGGTGCTTGGTAGGGCTATAAATACCTTCTCACCAGGAGACCCTGGGAAGCCAATTCCAGGAAAACCTGGTGCTCCTTTGTCTCCTTTTTCACCTTTTTGCCCAGGGAAGCCTGGTGTGCCTGGGGAACCTGGAACTCCAGGAAGACCTTTTTCTCCAGGTGTTCCTAGTAAGAGAAAAGGAAAAACAGGTGTGCCAGAACCCATGGTACCCTGGCAGTGCTGATAATGTGTTTTCAGTGTTGCCTTAACTATTCAGAGCTGTAAAAGCAAGTAAATTAACTTTTGGGAGTCACTCTCCAAATGGGATGTTTCATGGGGTGATAAGCTCTGCTGATGAGAGAAGGTCATAACCTTGGATTCAGAGCTCTTGCTAAACAGAGTTCTTGCTAAAAAATATGAACTGAATGAAACTTGATTTTTAGTTGAATACTTTCTAACAGGAGTTCAGGGACAAAAGGACTCATCTGTGCGTCATTTTTGTCCCTCTTGACCATCTCAGATTTCCACCTTTGGTTTCCTAGACATGAGGCCATCTGAATGGAGACAGAGCTTCCACGTTGAGATGTAAGTTCTTCTCCATTCTATTCCTTACCAATACCCTCCACAACAACACTCTACAGTTCATAATTAGCACTCAGTACACAACAACTCTCCAAACCTTTTAGAAGAGGTAGCATACACAGGAAGTTTTAGTGCAGTTCAGCCACTAGCAGAGACAGAGACAAGCAAAGAGGCACCACTTGGAAAACTGCCTACAACCAACACACAAATCCTGAATATCCAGCAAAAGGATTTCATGTGGAAGTTTAGGAGACCATCCTGATACTTGTGTACCACAATAGGACTGAAAAGGAACATTCCTAAATCATGACATTCAGTCACTGGTAGTGCAACTGCTGAGTAGATCTGCACCAGGAAATGTTCCACACAGTTCTCTCTCATGATGTTCTGCATTGACTCAAGGGAAGCAATGAGCAGAAATTCCTAGCAATCAGTACCTGGCAAACCCATTTCACCAACTGATCCTTTTTGTCCTGGAACTCCTGGATCCCCTGGGTACCCTGGAGGGCCCTGATCACCTTTTGGTCCTATGGACAACAGAGAAATGAGAGTCCCATTGGTTAATGAGGTTCAAAACACCCAAGGAACAGTCTCTGCTGCTGGCTTCAGACATACCTGGCTGCCCTGGAGTACCAGGTTCACCATCCCTCCCTGGAATTCCTGGTTCTCCATAATCCCCACGCAGCCCTTTCTCCCCTGCTGCTCCGTGGTCCCCTGGACACCAAGAAGACAAACACAGTGAGGTGAGTTTTATCCAAATTTACTGGAATGACATACTGGCAAGAAATCAGGAAGAGGACAAGAACACTTTCAGAAGACATGATATACAATGGCAGGCAGAGGGATTGGGCTGAGGGAAATGAACTACATGGTCTCAGTAGTTCCCTCCTGAGCTCTGCAGCTCTATTTGAACTAAAACTGTTACCATTTATTAAAAACTGTGGTCTAAAACTAAGACAAAACCAAACTCTAAGTGCTGCTGCTTGACAGTATGTGAGTGTTAGTTCCACTTATCCACAGTCAGAGATTAAAGTTACCTTTTTCTCCTTGATCTCCCTTCTGGCCTTTGAGACTGACCATGTCCATGTCCATTTCTCCAGGTTTTCCTGGGAGACCAGCTTCACCTTTATCTCCCTTGACACCAGGATCACCCTGTGGTCCAATTACACCCTTCAAACCTTGGCTACCTGCAAAAGGACAGTGCTGGATGTTACAGGGACTTACCAAACTCTGCAAAAGCACTTAGTAGACAACAAACTAAATTAGTTACTAATTCAAGTCTTGAGCACCAAACACCAAGCTCTGGAATATCTCCTCTGGAGGTTCTTATACTAGGGCTTCACAAGAGCTGTGTTAAAGAGCTGTCATGTTTTTCCCACTTCACAGCCATTCATTTTAAACTCTAGACACAACAAGGACAGGGGCTTGGCAGGAAAGCAGACCATTATCTGAAGGATTTAACTAAGACCTCTCTGCTGGCTTTTTCTAATTTCAAATACTGTACTTTTATGGCATCCCTACACCTAGCAAAACCTTATGCTGCTGAAGAATGGATCAAAACCCATGTCTTGGTGCCCAAACATGACTGCTCCTGGGAAATAGCTTTTCATACCACTTCTGACTTAGACGGAAGTTACTTGGCATAACCCACGCTTGGGCCAAGCATAGTCCTGATATTTGGTGGTTTCCAGCCTTCTCTGTTGGGAAAAAAAGGTGGATTTTACGACTTTCATTTTGAGAAAATCCCTCTCTTACCTTTTTCACCAGGTAACCCGCGATCTCCAACTGGTCCAGGAATTCCTGGCAATCCAGGAGTTCCCATAACTCCCATTTCTCCTTTCGGTCCTGAAATCGAAGTGAAAGAGTGAATAACAGAAATAAAGCAAACAGTGCAAAGGAGCACAAGAAACAGAATTATTTACTGTCTATCATATTGGGAACTGCACTGCTTAAGGAACAATGGGGCAAAGAAGATGATAAATCTAAGACAGCCTGATAGAGAAAACAGCAGTAAAAACAGTGTTATGAAAAACACAATAAAACAGTTTGTAATGGGTTTTGGACAAACCCTTAAAACTTCCTATTACAGCAAACAATGCTGCCATTAGCAAAGATAACATTGAAACATACTCTGTCACTGAAGCTGTGCAGAATATTTCTTTATTACAGGCTAATTCCTACAAACTGCTGGATTGGATCCACCAGAGGACTTCAGCAGCAGCTCAGTTACATGTGCACAGAGCTGCTTCGCTGACCTCAGCACATGTGTTTTCTCAGGCTTGGTCTCTTTGATGGATCACATGGCTCTCTGCAACTCCCTGGAAACATACTCTGTCACTGAAGCTGTGCAGAATATTTCTTTATTACAGGCTAATTCCTACAAACTGCTGGATTGGATCCACCAGAGGACTTCAGCAGCAGCTCAGTTACATGTGCACAGAGCTGCTTCGCTGACCTCAGCACATGTGTTTTCTCAGGCTTGGTCTCTTTGATGGATCACATGGCTCTCTGCAACTCCCTGACAGGGTTGGAGAGAGGAGAGGTGGGGTTCCAGTAGTGACAGGTTAATGGATGGACTGGATGACCTTAGAGGTCTCCTCCAGCCTCAGTGGTTCTAGGATTCGATGAATTCCTGACTGAGTGAAAGGACATGCTACCACAACTTAACAAAACACTTGTCAAAGATGCTGGTTCCTGAGGGAAAAGATGTTTACCTGGTGATCCTTTCAGCCCAACAGCCCCCTGAGGTCCTGGCAGACCAGGTAACCCCACAGAGCCTGGTACTCCTGGCTGGCCCTGGCTGCCTTTGTCCCCTTTTGGTCCTGGCATATCTAGACCTGGAACACCAGGGAAGCCCCTTTCTCCTTTGATTCCAGGAAATCCTAGGAAAAACAGAAGATACAGGGTTAGTCCTTACCAGAGAATGAGGAACACTGTTGGCAAGCAGATCTGACCTTGTCCACCTGCGTTTCACAAATTACATGGCACAGAGAATGAGGAATCAAAGGCGTCTGCAGGAAATGAGCACCAGTCCTCATTTCCTAGGAGGGGCTTTGAATGTGTATATAGTACCCACCAATGACCTAAAAAGACCAAACAAATGGCAGGTATCTTCTCAGGAAGCCTCATTCTGCATCCTGGACCAGATGAAGGAGGTCCCCCCATCCACACACATCGGCCTCACACCTCAAAACAGTTCACAGGCAACACTTTTACCAGTGCCAATATCCACTTATGCCAAGATTCCTCTCCTAAGCACCACCATGGGACTATTATTCTCTCACCTGGTGGTCCCTGAGGTCCTGGCTGTCCAGGGGGTCCTGGCGTTCCTGGAGGACCCAGCCCTGGAGCACCTGGAGGGCCTTGCAAGCCTTGGACACCTGGGAGGCCAGGGTCACCTGCAGGGAGAGAGACATAGGTTGAGTGTCCTTCAATGCTGTTTGACATCTTGTTTGCTGAAGATGTCAGAGAAGGTGCTTTGGAATCTAGTGGCAGACCAGACCTCATCCAGCCTCTTACACATCCAGCCTGGGCTTGGAGTGAGGGCTGTTCTTTGCTGCCAGCATTTTCTGCTGGGGGGTGATAGGAGAAAACAAGGAGAAGGCAAAGGGGAAATTCCCCAAGGTATCAGTATGGTATTTCAGTGATGAATAAACCTTTTCACCCTGGCAGTGTTCAAAGCCAGATTGGATGAAGCCTTGAGCAACCTGGTGTGGTGGGAGGTGTCCCTGCCCAGGGCAGGGCATTGGGATTGGATGATCCATGAAGGTCCATCCCAACCTCAAAAATTCTATGAGTCAATGATTTTTGCTGCATCTACAGGGGAGTGACTTCCAAAAGAAACAGAAATGCAGAGACCTTACCTCTGAATCCTTGCTGGCCAGGTATGCCTGGAAAACCTTGCTCGCCTCGTAAGCCAGGCAGTCCTGGACTGCCCTTTTCTCCAGGGATTCCACCTGGGCCAGGGGGGCCTGGCAGCCCCTTAGGGCCAGGGAGACCTACACCAGGTTCACCCTAGTCAAAGAAACACAATAGACAGGTAATCAATACATCAAACCCAAGAACTCATTCACTCAGTGTGTTTCAGCCATGCAGGACAGAGCTCCACACATGACTTCAGGGAGAGCTGGAAGTGTTAATGCCAAGCACTCATCCATCTGCTCTGTCCTTTTGTGTGCACAGGGGGAAACATAAGATGGAAGACAGTTTGGCAAACATTTTCTTTTCAAGAGCAGGATCTTTGCATACATTGCTAACGTGGGCAATCCGAGGTAACAAGGGCAGCAACTGACACCTACCTTTTGACCTTGTAAACCTGGAACACCTGGCAGACCATCCAGGCCAGGGGTTCCTGGAGTTCCTGGCAGACCAGGTGAGCCAGGCTGACCTTGGAAACCTGTAGAACAAAACAAAACAATGCTCACATCATTACTGTCTCTGCCTGTAAGTGACCTCTACTGTCTCTTCAAGCCTCTGCAACTGAACTATCCACGACCTCACAGGGATTCCTTAAAAAAGGTCTGTGTAGTTTTTTATGTCAAACTTCTAGGGATGTCAGTACTCAAACGTCCCAGCAAAGACTCAACTGCTGAGCTGTGTGCAGCACTTGGCTTCTGGTGAGAAATAACCACCCAGAGGAAGTAAATGCTGAGTGTCTCCTCTTCAATGAATAGCCTTGTGGGTTCATCTCCCACCTCCCTCATGAGGAACATCCAGTCTGCAAGACTGAGCTCCCAAAGCCTCCTTCAGAAAAGGCAACTTAATGCCTGGGGCATCAGCCTGAGAGATGGACAACCAAATCCATCTGTGAATCAACACCTTTTGGTCGCTGTATGTCTGGTGATGAGTCCTAAATGTCCTGCTGTAAGTTTCTGTGCCACAGCTGGCCCATGCCTCTGGAACTCAGGAAGGAACAGTCACAACATTCAGCAAATCACTCAAAGATGGCACTCATTCAACAGCAGCACATGCTCAATAAATGAAGTTTCTCTCTCAGGGAGTGGGAAATGCAGCACTTAGGCTAAGCCCCAGGAGAGTCATGGGGCAGAGCTGAATTTGAGGATGGGTCCTCAAAAGAAATGTCTTTGATGTGTCATTCCTTTCTTGCTGGCATCAAAGAGCAATTCTTTTCCAGATGTAATGGAATACTCTTCTGTTCAGGTTTGTGCCAATCCAGTCTCAAATGAACTAGAGATGGTCACAAGGAAAGATTTGCTCTTTCTCCTTATTATTATTATTATTTCTGACCCTTCCAGTTCATTGGTGTGTGGAACCATAAAAAAAAGTAATGGAGACCCACAAGAATTTTGGTGATTGAGGTGGCTGCTGAAAGCTGTCTGCTTGTTCTGAATGAGTAGGAGCACTAGGAAATGCATCTCCCAAATATCCACAACGACAATATGAACATTTAGAGTCCCTCTAAACTACATATGCATGTCCTGACAGTAGCCATGGAAGGAATACTAAACCTGTGCTGAGTGAGCTGGAATTCTAACCAAACCAGTCAGCTGTCTGGGACACAGCAGAGCTGTTAGCTCTGGCCTAGAACTGTTATGTCAGATATGATTTTGACCAACAACACACAGAGTTTTTAATCTCAGAAAGATCATCTCATCTCTCAGAACCCTCAAGAGCTGCAATGTGAAGTGTTGTACTGTATCACTTTCCATTCTGGCAGTAGCTTTGACACTGTCTGGAGCTGCACCACGTCACTGCACGAAGCAACTGTGTGGGAAAGAATTCCCATTGTGGGGCTGGTGGAATTTTGCCAGGGAAGTTTTTCAGCTGCACCTCCCAAACCTCATGCAGCCATGGCTTGATGCCTGTGCATGTCTCCATCCACACTCCAACTACTACAGCTCTGTTAGCTGGATAACTGCCTTACCTTTGGGACCTGGAGGTCCAGGGAACCCTATCCCTGGCTGCCCAACAGCACCTTTTTCTCCTGGCAGGCCAGGTCTACCTGGAAGCCCAGGGTTCCCCTTGTCACCTTTGCAATGGAAAACAAGACAGATGTTAACACAGATGTTAGCTTCTGGGGAACAGAACCTTCTGATCACCAAACCAAGATTAACAGGTTGCTGTACCTTGTGGTCCAGGGAAACCAGGTGGTCCAGGAAGGCCATCTGCCCCAGGAGGTCCAGGGAGTGGGACAGTTCGTCCTGCTTCACCCTTTGCTCCTGTGGATGTGAAGATATATTAAGTACAGGAAGTCAGGAAATGAAACAAGGGAGTTTCCCCCAGCCAGCAATGTTAGTTCCTCCATACCACTTCAGCTGTGAAGGTTTCTTTGCAGAAGAATCATAGGAAACTAGGATGAACCTAACATCTTCCCATTCGGCCTAACAAACTCTCCAAGAAAACTGCCCTCAAAGATTTGCAGTTACAGTGCTGAAAGCAAACACCCACTGAAATTAGAAAGTTTTTTTACTTCACTCTTAAATTCTGGTGATCCTCTAAGCTGTGCCACTTAAAGCACAACATCTTTTCAACTTTATTCTATTTTAAAGCATACTACAGCATTACCTGGCAGGCCTGGTAGACCTGGGCTTCCAGCAAAGCCTCTGTCTCCTTTGTCACCAGGTAACCCTGAAGCTCCTATGCCAGGAGGGCCAGGAAAACCTCTTTCACCACGTACTCCAGGGAATCCAGGCTGTCCAGGGGGGCCACGTTCTCCTTTCAAGCCAGGTGTACCCTAGGTTTTGGAAAGTATAAGTGTAGTTCTTGCCTGGTTGGCAAGACAGAACACATCAGTGTCTCTGAGTATTTTGTGACTTGGATTTAGCACAGCGCTCTGGAATGCTGAAGAAAGAGGAGCTTTATTACTGAGTTCAATGGAAACAGGACTAGGCTCCATGTGAAACAGCACATGGGAATCACACCTAGTGTGCAATGCAGCTAACTGGACTGTGTAGGTTATGCTCCCAGGGGTGGATCTGGGAGCACATGTGAGCTCCACATCCAGCTCCACATCTATATCAGCAGAACTCTGCCAGTGCAGGACTTTGAAGCACCAGTTTCCACAAGAAGGGAATATGCTAGAACAGAGTTGAATCTTGTCCTAACAATCCCTGCTTGGATAACTGCATTCCTTCAGTCACCTCCAAATATCAGCTGAATCATTTGCACTAGCTCTCACTATGCAGTGGAGAGAAAGGGAGAAAGAAACACAACTCCTGTCCATGTCCATGTGGGGGAAGGAACCTTGCTCTGCTGCCCTGAAAGCAGCAAGCCATGCTGAATGCATTGGAGTCAGATCACTTTGGGCATGACATGTGAAACAGAAAGGGTCAGAATCTGCCTCTGAAAGTCTGTTGTTGAAGGACTGTCTTCCTCACCAGTTCCTGTGGAAATGGAGATTTCCTCTGAGGAAGAATGTGCTACTCAAGGTAAGGCCAAGAGGTAGAAAACTGAATGGGCCAACAAACATAAAGCATGTGTAGGCACGAGAGGCTGAGAACCTGATCTGACAGGCAGAATGTACAGGGCAGGGTGTAAACAGAAACACACATACTGCTGTTCCTTTTGGACCCTGGGGACCTGGGAATCCATCCTTTCCTGGTCTTCCTTCTCTTCCAGGAATACCTGGTTGTCCAGGGAAACCACGATCTCCCTTTTCACCTTTCAGGATGGTGTCATAAGTGAAATCTCCTGGTTCTCCTTTCGCCCCAGGGCTGCCCATGAGTCCTGGAGTGCCAGGGGGGCCCTGAAAGGTTAGAAATTCAGGTGTCATCAACTGTCTGTACCAACATTCCAACTGATACAAAAGAAAACAAACCTGCAGAAGTTAAAGTGTAGACCCAAACCAAGGAAACCACTAAGTTTTTGACTGAGGAGGTCAAAGGGGAATATTTTCCACGACAGCGTGGATAAGGAGTTAATGCAAAGCTTCTTGTCTTGGCCACTTTGCCCTTTACCTTATCACAGGTGTATCATGCTAAAGAGTACCTATAAATTTGCACTACTTGCACAAGAACTGCAGGCCATGGCAGCAGAAAAATACTCTGAGTTTTACCACTACAGAAGTTCAATTGTGCATATTTATACAATAACAACATGAAGGTAAATGAGACTTTTTTTGAAAGCATTTTCAGAGTGAGTGTCTGCCCCAGCCTCTAAATGCTGAATTCCTGTGGCACTGTGGAACCCAATTCCCTGACACAAATGCAGCAAAGATGTCCCTGTGTTTCCAGGAAAATTTCTCATCCCAGCAGAAGGAATACTGACACAGGAAAATAATGTCATTCCAGTGGGGAAAGAGAAACTTAGCCAAACTTACAGGTTTAAATTGCTCATACAAGTCCCACCCATGGTTTGACTTCTTTCAGAACCTTTTAAATCTACTATAATATTCATCAGATATATTGACTGCACACAAAATAGAGTTAATTATCTTGCACAAAACTAAAAGGCTCCTTGCACGAAAGCTAAGGCTTAACTGAAGGCTCAAAGCTTCTCCCTGGCTAGTTCACTCCTGACATTCAGCTGATGCAAATAGATGTTTCCCTTCACTATGAACATTCCTAGATTCTGGACACTTGACACTCAGAACCAGTTGGTGCTATGAGAATCCTATGCACATGCTCAGGAAAGAGCTTTGTAAGCTCTCCTGGACATAAATTATCTGCCTAATAATATACCCATAGGATTTCCAGAATCTCAGTTTTCCCCTACATATATTCTAGGACTTTGGTGAACTTTTCTCTAAAATTTCAAGTGACTCAGAGCTACTCTGTAGTAATAGTGGAGCACAAACTTCATGGGCAGTGCCCACTGCTTGTGGCTGATGTGTGTCCTCCACTTGAACCTGAACCAGAAGCTGGTCAAGGGGAATATCTCACGAGCATTGGTGTGTTCTGGATCAGACTGTGTTGCTCTGGCAGAGACACAAACAGAACTTCAGAGGAAATAAAAGTATAAAGGTGTGGCAAACCAAATGTGGCAAAGCACGTGCCAAGAACAAATGCCAGACACCAAAAAAGCTTAAATACATCACGATTTCCTTTTCCTCCACTGTTTTCCCCATAGATCTCATTGATATTATAACACATTCAGTCACTGGGTAACAACATCTTATTTGTTGTGGTGGAAATAGACAATGGACTCATTCTTAATGAACTTTCATTGGCTGATTTCAGGCATCTAAGCTTTCTTTATACTCAAGGGAGAGAAAAAGATTCCCTGAGTAAGGAATTCTTGCAGGTGGGTTGTGTTAGCTTCTGAAGGTGCCTTTCTCTCACCTCTGGGGATAGAGGGAGTTTGAGAAATTCCAGTGTGTGTTAAAAGTGAGTGAATGGCATGGAGAAGTTATGTTGCCAAAAGGGATCAGCTAAAAGGAAAAAAACAACAGCCTTGAGGGTGAAAAAAAAGGTTTGGGAGGACTCAGTGTGCTCACACTAAGAGTGGTGTCAAACCCACATCCTACTCCAGAAATGTGTATGCTGAGGGAGGATCTGGCAGCAAATCACAGTGTACACAGGGACACTGCAGTGGACTCTGGCAAGGCCAAATGTAGTTGTGCTAGTACAGAGCTCATCCAGGGGTAATTTGTGCTGCATTTGAGACAGGTGCTATGCCCATGGCTGCTCTGCATCTGATCTCTGGCCTTAGTGAGAGCTGTGTCAACATCATTTCCCAGCAATCCTATCAGTACCCTCTCCACCTTCACAGCCTTCCTTTATTCCTTCCAAAGCACTTAGCTCTCCTGCCTCATAACTGTGTCTTACCAAACACACTGCACACACTTCCCAAAGCTCAGAGCAGCTGTAACAGCTAGCCCTGGAGTGCCTGCACTGCACTAGGTGGCACTGTCTGTCTCTCAATACATAGGTATCCAACACTGAAGAGTTACTGGAACAATTCACAGAAGGTCAGGAGAGACCTGCATCTGTTTGCTGTGAAAACCTACTCTTTACTTACTTCCACTGCTCAGCTAGCTCAGCCCAAAGTCATGTGTCCTGTGAGTTCATGGATAGGCAAACACAGACTGCTTTTTTTAGCCTCTCATAGCTGAACTGCATGCCTTCTGATTTATTTCATTAGCATTTTATCACAGCACAGAGCTGGTCTGTTTGCAAACAGAACTGTTGCACAGACACACTGAGCACCAGGTTTTCTGATCACATGCTTAGTAGGAGATGTAGCATTTGGCAAGGCATTACTTACAGGCACTCCTGGAAGGCCATCTAGTCCAGGTAAGCCTCTGTCACCCTTGAAACCTGATTGTCCAGGAAAACCTTATCAGAGAGAAAAACAGAGGGTTACTTATACATGTTTTTACAGACAGCTCATTTTATATGAATTCTTTGCAAACCTTCTCATGTCCATCCTCAGTTCTACCAACAAAATGCTGTGAAAGGCCTAGAAAACATGTGGGATGAGGAAGGGCTGAGGGAGTTGGGCTTGCTTAGCCTGGAGAAGAGGCTCAGGGGTGACCTCCTGGCTCTCTGCAACTCCCTGACAGGGTTGGAGAGAGGTGGGGGATGTGTGTCCTGCCATGGCTGCAGGGAGAGGACTAGAGGGAATGGCCTTGAGCTGAGCCAGGGCAGAGTCAGATTGGATGTGAGGAGAAATGTTTTCCCTGTGAGGGTGTTGAGGCACTGGGATATTGCCCAGGGAGGTGGTGGAGTCACCATCCCTGGAGATGCTGAAGAGGTGTTTGGATGTGACACTGGAAGATCTGGTTTAGGGTTTAGGGTTTCCAGCAGTGACAGGTTAATGGTTGGACTCGATGATCTTAGAGGTCTGCTCCAACCTTGATGGTTCTATGATTTCAAAGTTGGTGAAGCTGTCAGGATTCATGTGCTCATGTGCTGTATGGCTGCACTCAAACTCAGAAGCTGAAGATTCATTTGCCTTAGGAATGAATTCACCTTAGTATTTAGACAGATCACATAACCAATACTGTCTTGAAAGTACCTGAACTGTATTCGCTTTTCTGAACAGCCACTAGAACAAACACTAGGTACAATAAAACTTGATGCTTGTGGTACTTCTCTCATATGGTGGCAGAAAAGTTATGGGTTTTTTGGGGGGGCACAGAATTGGGCACATATGTATGGTGAGTGTCCAATCTGGACACACAGGCAAATGGTTCCCACATTATTTGCCACTGGCACAACCACTTGTGAAAATTTTTGACCCACAGTTTGCAAAGACCTTTCACTGTGGCAGATTTCTGCTTCCTTGGCAATTGTTGGTGATCTCACTGGAAATTTGCAATCAGGCCAAAAATAGGAATATTCCACCCTCATTCCATGAGTTTCACAAACAATTTTGTTATTGGGGCAAAAAGTCATTCATTTCATCCTGTATGCTGCATTTTTAGAATTTAGTCTAAATTCTAGTCTAGAATTCTAGTCTAAATTCTAGTCTAGTCTAATTTTTGTTCATTCTCAGGTAATTAATGAGTTTTTACCTGCTGGACCTGGTGGCCCTTGTGGTCCTGGAGGTCCAGGAGGTCCTACTTTATCACACAAGGCACAGGCTTCACCTTTGTCCCCTGAAAAAAAAAGGAAACAAAAAAGCAAATGAATAACAATGAAAAGATTTAAGACAACTGCAAACAGGTCAATTGTCCAGGGAGGTGGTGGAGTCACCATCCCTGGAGATGTCTAAGAGGTGTCTGGATCTGACACTGGAGGATCTGGTTTAGGGTTTAGGGGTTCCAGCAGTGACAGGTTAATGGCAGGACTCAGTGATCTTAGAGGTCTCCTCCAACCCTGATGGTTCTATGGTTCTAGGTGAATTCAGGGGCAAATGTCAATCTAATACACTTCATGTTGAAAGAATAAAAATAAATGTGCTGCTTCTAATTACAAGAGAATTTATCAGCAAATTGATGTTCAAATTTCTGCCACTTTTAAAAGGAACTGCATGAAAATCAACATGAATCTTATCCTTGGGATCCTATTTAACAGAGCAGTTAACATGGACCAGGCTGAAGGGGATCAAAAAGAAGAAGAGAAATGTTCACTGGGTATAGAGGAACTAAATAGATTAAAGTAGAAAGAGGAGAACCTCTACAGCCACTGGGATTCTGCAGTTTGGGGAAAGCAGTGAGCAGATGAGATCAGGAAGGACCAACCACCATGTGAGCGACTGCATCTCGTTTTCTAAATGTCCTTTCAGTCAGTGCTGCTAAGGCATGTGGGGACAGTCCTATTTAAAGGTGACATTTCAGCTGATGGGGACAATCCTATTTAAAGGTGACATTTCAGCTGAAACTGTCCCCATGGCAGTGATTCATTACCCATTTTCATTCCCCACTCCTGTGCCTCTCTCTGATTCTGCATCTCAGAACTCACAACCAGCTCAATTTACACCTCATGGGGCTACACTCAACCCTTTCTTCCTTCCCTGCTCCTCTTCCAGCCTTGCTCCCTCCCTTATCCCTTCCCAGCAAAGTGTGAGTTGAGTGAAAGGCACGAGAAGTTTGTGTCACACAACTCAATACACAGTAGATTTCCTTTACTCACCAGAGACTCAAGAAACTTTTTCCATGGCCACAAACTACTTATTTAACTACCTTTGAGTATAGTTTCTCTGGATTCAGCCTGATTTGCTCAGCCTCTTTACACACCCAAACTCCAGAGTACTGAGCATCATACTTGGAAAGTATCATTACCTTTCTCTCCCATCTCTCCTGGGAATCCATCCCTTCCCGGAAGTCCAGGAGTTCCTGGTGCACCAGGCTCTCCCTGCTGGCACTGATCAATTCCATCTGCAATGCAAATGCAACAAAGAGTATTTCCTTGGCAAGTGTAGGATTCCATCACAGAGCTGCATTTATGGATGTCACCACTGAAACTTTGCCTATCAGAAATGGGAAGTCAGGGCAGCATTTTACTCTTATATTTGACTGGCCTGGAAACATTTACCCACAGTCCTGCACTCTGATTCCATATGGACTGCATTGCTCTTGCCCTGAGAGCTCCAGATTAAAGTCAGGCTCCAGCAGAACAAGGTTAAAAACAACTTTCACATCAAATCCAACTCTGTGTGAGTTTTGGCTAAGAAAAATACTGTGAATGAAAAACTGCTGGTTTGACCCTGAAGAGAATGGAGAGTATTGACACCTTGAAGAAGTTCATTACGTAGGTTTTCATAGCCTGACTTCTCTTTTCAATTCTTTAGGAAACTTTCTAGCTCAAGAGCAGCTTGTTAATAGCTATTTAGCTCTTCATACTGATCAAGCTTCCCAAAAACAACTTCATGTGCTAGGAACTGAAATAGGCAATAAATGACAATATGTAGTAGGTTTGATATGAGCATATAAACTGTGATTGTTCTGTTCGATGATATGATGCAAGTTCTGACCCAAAATAATATGACACCTTTTTGGCCAAAGGCAGTAGTCAAAATGCTAATGTGAAGTTTGGAAAACAACAGTTAAATGACAACAAATTCTTTCCCATTATGCACTTGAAAAAGAGCTACAGGAGCATCTGGGGAAGGAGCAGAATTAAGCAATGACAGAAACTTGTTGTATGAGAAACAGGAATTGCTCTTACTTCCAGGACAAGGTAAAATTTAGCTATTTAATTCCACATTCTTTGTGCTGGGTTTTGTGCTGCTTCACTGGCAAACACAGCAACAACTAGGGATCTCCAACTGTTTTGAAGAAAGTATTTTTGGTTTAGGGATTCCACAGAGAATAATGTTTATTTCAATAGTTTTAGAGTCCCTAAACTGTTGTACTAGGGATATCATTCTTGATGTTGGAATGACAGTTCAATTCACAATATCAGTGTCACCTATACGAAAGTTTGCCTTCACTAACAGAGCTAAAACCTCCATCGTGAGGAGCAATTCAGCACAGAACAGGTTCACATGCACTTCTGCCATTGCTCCATTGCATTGCTTCTCCTTAAAACTGCTGCCACAGCCCAGTAATAAACAGCTCTGTAATGGTGTTGTGTATGTGCTACTAGTATTATATTAGTCACATCATTAAGCTTTTCATTTCTCTACAAAGCTTGTGCTGACCCTGACTGAGGGGGTGCCATCCCTGCCCATGTCAGGGCGTCAGAACTGGGTGATCTGCCAGGTTTCTTCCCACCCAAGCCTTCCTGTGACCCCATTCTCCTCTGAGACAATTTCATGTCACAATGAAACCTTCAGTCAGAATAGTGCCTCACACTGCCATTCACCCCTGTTACACAGACATGCAAATTGCCATATTGAACATCTACCTTTGGTGCTAAGAACAACATCAGCATCTGTTTGGTTTTTTAATTTAAAATCTACAAATACCTCTAGGTTGGCACATTAGGGGACAGAAGAAACCAAGATGTGATAAGGTCAATTTTAAAAACGTTTGTTCAGCACAGAACCCTTGACCCAGTGAGGAAACAAGTTGCTTCCTGCATTGTGGAACAGCTTTCACTTGGTCCATCAACCACTCGAATGTGTTTCTTCAATGCTGTAGATTATAGCTGATCGTAGCTTCTATCATCTTTTCTCTTTTTTGTGTGCATTTTTGAGTCTTCATTGTGAAAAGCAACCAAGGGTTTTACCTACCTGTTATGCCTGGAGGTCCTGGTGGCCCAGGCAACCCCGGAGGGCCTGGGAAACCATCTCTTCCAGGGGGTCCAGGTAAAGGGAATCCTGGAGAACCCTTTTCACCTTTTTCACCTCTCTCTCCAGGGACACCAGGTGACCCTACCATGTGTGGAAGTGGTCGACCTTTGGACAGAGTCAAACACACATGAAGATGAGACACATGAAAAGACAACAACATTATCAACACATTCACTTCATGGGGTTTCCCAGAGACATGGGGAAATGTCAGTGCAAGAGAGACAGAGGACTGTGTTTTAATCACTGGTGGCTGAAAAAGGCAATATTTGCAGGCCAAAGAAATAACCTTTATTAGATCAAGTGCTACACTAAAAAGAAAAAAGTCTCCAGGAACTACTTTGATCTAATAAGTATTGTTGCTATTTCTCCCTGCAAACCTTGATTTATTATATTTATGCAAACACAAAAAGAGTTGAAGTGAGAGCAAAACAGGTGATATGACAGCAGTTAAGGGGAAGATTTCTCAGGACTTTTCAGCCAAAAAGAACCACAGGAAAAGGGTGAAAAATTCAGGGTCACGATTTCATACCTGGAGGTCCTGGAACTCCTTGTGCACCAGGGAAACCTTTAGAAAGAGTTTTCAGTCAGGCAGTTAATTCAGCAATGCCAATGAACTTTTAGCATATGTTATGCAAATTAACATTACACACTAGTATAATTCAACACACTCTGAATCAAACTTGAAGTTCAACAATCTCTATCCATCTGCAAGCAACACACTCAGGGAGAAGGACCTGCTAGATCCCAGCTTCTCTAGTGATTTGTCTGGCTAAGGTCTGCAATGGGGAGAGTGGGAAAGGGAATGCTTGATATACTTGAGATTCAAAATTGGCTACTGACTTTTATAAAGGAGCCTCAAAATTCCCTGCACTGTTATCTTCTTTGTATTTGTGTTGACTTCCATATTTCTTGTATAATATCACTGGATTATTTAATTGCCAGAAAAGCAGTAATGACCTGAAAACACTTCAGTCAGAAACTGGAACATTACAGTGTCATACAGAGCTCCTGAGTCCACAGCTAGTACAGCTTTCATTACCTTCAGTAAGAAAACTAAACTTAGAACTCAGTCAAAAAAACAAGCCAAAACCTTACCTTTTTCACCCTTTTGACCTTTCAACCCCGGCAAACCCGACAGTCCAGGCTCTCCTTTTTCACCAAAGGTGTCTACTGGGCCAGCATCTATCATCTGAAGCAGAGGACAAAGACCAGGACACTAGAAACACATCTGTGCCCTCATTTGTTTCTCACTGCTCTTGATCTGATGGCACAGAGGTCATTTTGGTTTGTAGTAACAAGTTTGACCAGTTTTGGTTATCACTGAAATCTCTTTGATAAGCAACAGCTGCTGTGAGAGAGTTGTAGCTGCTGAGGAAATGCCAGAGAAAAGAAACATTTCCTATTCTACCAAATTCCTTCATATCAGTCATGGGATTAAACGGAGAGTGTTTATAGCATCTTCCTCAACAAGAGGAATCAGCAACTGTGCTGTGCATCACTTGTCTTTCTTGGGTTTTATTCCAATCTCTCTCTTCTTCTGTCCTGGTGGACAACAGGCTGTCCATGAGTCACAGTGTGCCCTTGTGGCTAAGAAGGTCAATGGAATACTGGGATGCATTGGGAAGAACATTGCCAACAGGTCAGGGAGGTGATTCTGCCTCTCTGCTCAGCCCTGGTGAGGCCACACCTGGAGTGCTGTGTCCACTTCTGGGCTCTTCAGGGCCAGAGGGACATGGAGCTCCTGGGGCAGGTCCAGGAGAGGACAAGGAAGATGTTGAAGGTACTGGAGCACCTCAGTGATGAGGAAAGGCTGAGGGAGTTGGGGCTATTCAGCCTCAAGAAGAGACAACTGAGAGGGACCTCATCAATGGATTCAGGTCCACGAATGGGAAGTGCCAAGAGGATGATCAGACCCTGCTCAGTGGGGGAAACCAAGAAAACAAGAGGCAACAGCAAAACCTGATGCCCAGGAAGTTCCACCTGAACACGAGGAACTTCTTCCCTGTGCAGTCACTGAGCACGAAACAGGTTGCCCAGAGAGGTTGTGGATTCTCCCTCACTGGAGTTGCTCCAGAACCATCTGGACCCAACTCTGAGCCATGTGCTCTAGGGTGGCCCTGCTGGAGTAGGGAGGCTGGACCAGATGACCCACTGTGGTCCCTTCCAACCTCACTGAGTCTGTGATTCTGTGATTCTTGTTACCTGCCTTCATCATTATTATCACTACCATAACTACTAATACTAGTAACTTTATTTCAATTAATAAATCGTTCTGATCTCAACCCAAGGGTTTTATATTTTGCTGTTTCCCCTTTCCGTGCCACCTCGGGGAGGGGTGGGGGGTGCATGAGCAGCTGTGTGGGACAGCTAGGGTTAAACACAACCACTGCCAGGCTGACAGACTTACTCTTTGAACTCCCTTTAGATACTTTGGATTGACTGGCAAATGCTTATTACGCTTTTCATAGTCAAAAATATTTGAAATCCATGTTCTTCGAGAGCTCCTTCCTGAAATTTCAAACCACTTTAAAAACTGTCTCCAACTTTTGTTTCCATTAAGAAAACATGAGGACATGACTGATGAGAATGAGATCAGGACATGCACAGTGTCTCTTTTCTGCCTCATTGTTTGACCACTTTGAGTTTCACAAATTTTACTTTATTTTAAGTTTAAAATGAAAGTGTTTTATTTCACTTACCCTTCCTGGAGGTCCTGGATAACCTCTGTCTCCTTTGTCACCCTAAATCAAAATAGAATTGACATGTTAATTCCAGACCAGATTTTTCTTTCCCCATACAATTGGATTTCCTCAGTAAATGAACTCTTGGCTACAGATTCATACAACTTCCAAATGCTAAGCACCTGGACCACTACAACAAGCAGCTTCAGTAAGTCATTTGTGGGTCTGTACTGGTTTGCATTATGCAAACTGGGAAGAACACTTGTACTTCTGCTGGCTGAGTAAAGAGCAGGTGAAACAAAGCCTGCCTGAGTCGATTCAGGTGAGAGACCTAAATTGGGGATCGCTACATCACCTTAACTCTGACTTGGCACAGTCTCTGAGTGATGACACAGCTTAGCAACACATTTAATATTGTCTTCTGTGCATTCCTTGCTTTAATGCTCAGCTATGAACACACGACATGAGCTCTGAACTCATTCTGTATGAAGAGAAGTAAAAGCTGCTGCTCCTCACCTTGGTTCCAGGCTCCCCAGGTCGTCCCGGAACCCCAAAGCCTCCAGGCAAACCCTGTGAGTAGAGGAAACCAGGAAAGACAGAGTTGGATCTCAACCTTGGCAGCATTGAAGCCTTAAATTTTCAAACCTGTCACTAATTCACTGAAAGCAACAACTTCCAGCAAATAATTCAGAAGGCTAGAAAATATCAACCTTTGTTCTGAAGGTAAGGAGCAGTACTGGAGATTCAGTGAAATACGTACAGGTTCTCCTTTGGGTCCTGATTCCCCATCTTTTCCAGGCTTTCCCTGTAAAACACAAGTTCCACTCTCAGTAAACAAACAGAGCCACATATGTGTGATTTCTAAGACAGTGAATGAAATATTAGAACCAAACAATTACTCTTTCTGTGCATCAATCCAAGTGTGCTAACGCAGCCAACAGTGTGCAGGGCACACAGCAGGCAAAGTGAATGCCTAGAGCTTGTGTTACTCAACAGCCTACAACTTCACTGAAATCCTGCAAATCTGTTCCCAGATCCAGGAAGAACAGAGTGATGTCCCTGTCGAGGAGGCTTCAACACAAAACATATCATCAGCACAGGAAACTGGAACCAGACCCAGAATCTTTTCCCTTTACAGCAAACCCTTTCTGTGGGTACATTTCCAGCCTCACAAAACATTTATTCATAGACACTTGGTGGGTCACTCCCAGCAGAAGGTTTGGAGAGTGGCCCTGGATTAGACTGTGTGGGAATCTAGGGGTAAAAACCACTTCCCTGAAATGGAAAGCTCTAATTTCAAATCACAAGGCAGATGATGAGCTAGAACCCCAAACTCTCCTCTGGAGCAAATTTGTATCTATTGGACCTACAGAGTGGATTAGATTCCCTCGAGGTAATCAACAGGTTACGAATGACCTGGAGGGACTAACCTACTTTTCATCACCCCCTTCCTGCACCATGAAGGACAGTCCTGCTGGCTTGCAGCCTGACCCCTGGAGTTTGGCTTTTGTTTGTCCCAGTGCTCAGACTGTGCATGCAGCATAAGCAAAATGAACATGTCCCACAAACCCCAGAAAATGTATATCCCTGCAATATAAAGCAGCAGTGCATGTAATTCAGTCTAAAAAGTAACCCCATCAGTTTAGGTCCAAAGGTTCTGTCTAAGACAATGCAGCTGAAGAACAAAAATGGCCCAAACCAGGCAAATGGGCTGCCAGCACCTCAGTGTGCAGCTGTGGGAGCTTACAAGGGTTACAAGTAGTTTTCAATGATTAATTAAACTCTGACTGCAAAGTCAGGACAGTCTTCCACAGCACACTGTGCTCAGGATGGATCACAGAGTGTCAGTCCACTCAACTAGAACATCAGGCCTTAACATCTGTTCATCTTTCAAGCCTTCTCTTCATTCCAGAAGTAGCTATGATTTCCCGAATAGTTACACATAAAATGTCCTAGAAACTTTGTTCAGGGAACTCTGCAGAAACCTAAAGCTCTGCTCCTGAAAAATTCATGTGGTTTGGTTGTCTCAACAAGCTCCAAGCCAACATCTCTCCATTCTTCCAGAGTCAAACCCTCATTTACAGTAAGGTGAATGTACACACATGACGGCAAAGGTGATCCCAGCACATGTCACATCGAACAGAACATTTAACCTTGAAGCATGGTAGAAAGGAGGTTTCCTCTTTTACAGATCCAGATTCATAGCCTATAGTTGTGTTGGGTCTAACAGTTTACAAACGCCCACAACTTGAGAGACTCAGAGTTGCTTAGAATACTCTAGATATATTGTAACGTAGACAATGTATGATGTTGCTACCAGGTCAGCTATGACAGATTCAGAATGAGTCATGCAGGAGTTGTATGGATGAGACCATGACATAGGTCAGATTGGGCAGATGGAACAGACCTTATGGCCTCAAGCATCTATAGCCAGGCTAGAAACCAGCAAGCCAAAGTATTTTCCATCTAAATTTTTTTGCCCCATTTGTCACCAGCTCTACCTTTGTCAGCAGCTCTACCTTTGTCAGCAGCTCTACCTTTGTCAGCAGCTATACCTTCAGGCTAAGCAGGTTTAGGTTGGCCACTGCACATGAGAATACTTGAAATAAATTCAACACCTTCCACTTTGCTAAAGGCATTCCTACACAGTGACTTGGTTTGCTTTCCTTTTTCTTCTGTTCTGGGATGACTTAATCTTGCTTCAGCTGGGATCAGTGCAAGTTATGCCTTTGATTTCAGCACTGTGAGCTCCTGTTAAGTATCTTCAGTTATCTGAAACATGTTGCATACTAACATCACTGCATGTTGTTACCACCTTGACTTGCACATCTGTTCTACAGCCAAAGTTGCTTGTTTTAAATACCCCAAATTTGCTGTTTGACTGGTGGTTACCAGGCTTAATTAGCTTAAGGAAACAGCACAGTAACTGCAGTGATGGTGCTGCTGAAGTTGAGTCATGGTACCAACAAAACTGAGCATACTCACCCGTGGGCCAGGCTTCCCAGGCTCACCCTTGTCTCCTTTCAAACCTGAACCCGGTATTCCCTGGAAAACAAACATTCACCAGGTTGAAAACACCACCAAATTCCAAAGGAAATTTGCTTTTATCTAATAGCTACAAAGACATTCAGTGCCATTATCAGATTCTTCACAGTCTTTATAGTAGCAAAAAATGCTGCAGGATACTCACTGGGAATCCCTGTTCACCCTTTTGACCTGGATCACCCTAAGGAAATCATAACAAAAAAAGAGATTAGTAAACAAAACCTTAACCATTACTCATTTAGGCTGTAAATAATTTACTTCTTAACAATGGCAGAAGCACTTTTAACCTTCTTTCCACCTTCAGAGCTATGCCCAGTGGTGTGATATGCAAGAAGTGAGACAAACACGAGTTGTGAATCCATTTGTTTCTTTTACTAGTATATATTGCTTAGATTGCCTAATTCCATGACTGAAATGTTCATTAGCACTCAGATTTCATTAATTCTGTATATGAAAAGTCCAGCAAAAACTGCTTGACTCAAATTTTTAGAGTATTTTTAGCATATCTGTCATTGCTGCAATTATTGAAGCATTTACCATTTATCCTGCCTGTACTTTTCAGAGAAACTCCTAGGGAGACAAACAAAATTCAGCCACGAAGTGAAACAGGAAGAAATGTTTGAAAAATTTGCTCTAGGGGACTTCATATTTTCTTTTTTCTGTTTTGCTCTTGTTAGCCAATTCCTGTGGATAATATATTAACCAAGAGTACAAGAAGTGCAATCTCTGAAGGTCTCACCTTTTCTCCCTTTATGATTTCACTCCCTTTTTCTATCATGTGTGGTGCTGGTCCTGGGGGGCCTGGAGGACCCCTTACTCCTTGTTCTCCCTGTCAACAGCAAAGCCAGGAGAGTCCATTGAAAACAGCACTGGCACTGAGGTCAAACATTGCTAACACAAGAACATTAAAGAGAGATACCACTCACTTCAGCCAGAGCCAGGGTTGCACACATAGCTACAGAGGTCTCTACTCTATAATGGGCTACAGACCTGAAGAAAGTTCTCTGAATCTCCTCTTACAGTGAACGTTGATTAATACCAAATATCAGGGACATATCCCATTAATCACAGTAACAGTGAAAATGTTTTTTGGTGTCTCCTTTAGGAAGAGGATTAGGAAGAGAGAGGTCTGGTACAGAAGTCAATGCCTAAAGGAAAATATTAGTCAAATTTCTTAGTGCTCCAGCAGCTTCACAACTGTCCATGAAGCCCAACTTGAGGATCATAGAATCACAGAATCAAGTGGGTTGGAAAAGACCTCCAAGATCATCAAGTTTACCCTTAAATTCTATGATTCTATGAAGTCCAACCCTACCGTGGTGACTAGACCATGGCACTAAGTGCCACATCCAGACTCATCTTCAAAACCTCCAGGGATGGTGAAGCCACCACCTCCATGGGCAGCACCTTCCCATGGCTGATCACTCTCAGCAGA